ACACGTTGTCGGAAAACCAACCTGAGGCGAGACCCTGGCTCTACTAAAAATAGAAGAGAAACTAATTGACCAACTGAAAGATATATATACAAAAAAAATTTAGCCGGGCATTGGTGCGCATGTCTGTGAGACCAGCTGCTCAGTGGAGGCTGAGGCAGGAGGACCTCGCTTGAGCCCAGGAGATTGAGGTTGCTGTGAAGCATTAGGCTGACACCATGGCACTCACTCCAGCCTGAGAACAAAGTAGACTCTGTCTCAGAAAACAACAACAAACAAACAAGAAATACCTGGATAGGAAGACAGAGAACATTTGAAAGTGTGACTAAACTGTTCTGCAAGGATTCTAACTCACTGGCTCTGTCTTTTGGTATACAGGGAAAGGAAGCGGACTAGTAGATCAAGCAGCAGCATCGATGATTCTCGTGTTTGAGCAACCGGACAGCCATTTCAATTGAGTTGAGCAAGTAAATTGCATCTCTCTTTCGGGGAATCGCTCTGATGCTTTCTTGTGCGTTTGGACGACAGTGGTTTTATTCATAAACGCTTGTATGTGTTTGCCGCGAGTTAAGATGACACAGGTAGGACAGAATTCCACATCAGGGAGCTTCGAGGGCTTATTGGGTGGAGACACGTCTAGAAGGCATTCTTGTAAGGGTGTCCTTTCTTGTAATGCTTCCTCACGTCTTCTAAACTTTCGCTTTTTATTTTTCTTTATTTCACAAGATCTGACGTTTGTTTCAGTCTATGACAAAGTCACGTAGCTTTTTTGCAGTGTTAGAAACTAGCTAATTGATTGTTAAATTCTTGACTATTTCTATGCCATAGTGTATCAGAACCAGTTTCACTAGGAGCACAATTTTTTTTTTCTTTAGCGTCTTGCTCTTGTCGCCCTAGTAAGGGTCGCTGGGCGGTCGTCATAAGCTCACAGCAAACCTCCAAACTCCTTGGGCTCAAGCGATGCTGGTACCTGCCTCAGCCTCCTGAGTGCTGGGACTACAGGCATTGCGCCCCATGCCGTGCCTAATTTTTTGTTCTATTTTTCTGCGTAGGCCAGAGTCTCACTCGTTGCTCAGGCTCGGTCGTTTGAACCCAGAGCGTGCGAGCAGATGCCTCCCGCCATTCCAGCCGTCCCAGAGTGCTAAGTATTATAGCGGAGCCACGTACCCGGACGTACCCGACAACACAAATTCTTATTAGGACTAGTAATCCAAAACCATTTGCTCACTCGTGAAACCCTTCTGCATTGCCTTCATGGTGTTTTCTATAGAAAATGAATTCCATTTGAAGTAGGGTTGTGATATTGATCTTAAGTTCTTTTGGAAATGATTTTAAAGTAGTTCTTTAATAGAACCTTATAGGAACAAATAAAAAAAAAGCTGTTTTCCACTCAATTTGTAAGTTTTAGATACTAAAGAGAGGTGGTTTTGCATTTCCCTTATTTTATCTTTGCCACTTCAAGTTCATCCCTGCAAAGAGGCAGAGTAAGAACCACTTACCCAACTTGGGCTAAGCACTGGGATAAGATAGCAGCACGGGAAAGGAGCCCTGAGATGCTGTGAACCACATAGTCCAGTGGGTTCATGAACTAGTGTCAAGGCAAGAGTGACATTCATACTCATTAACAAGCCATGCAAAATGTCAGGAAAGATGAGCACTAAATAGTGAGTCATAGGCTGTAAACCTGAGACTTCAGGAATTGTTTCCTCAAGGCCTACTGAAATTTGTCAAGAGTGCTGTGTTCATTTATTTCAGGATCCTACCATATTGCAGGCAGAAATAGTAACTTCTTCAGTGTAGAAGGAGGCAGATGTTGAGAGTGACGTGGAAAGGAATAAACAAAAGCTGTGGAAGTTGGTTTCACAACTGGCAAATGATGAATATCTGGCAATTTTGGAAAAAATCTACGATGCTATTGTAATAAATATTTGCATAAATATTTATTGTGTATGTGAATTATGTTTGTGATGACAGAGGAAGGCAAAGTAGAAACTCTTACAAGAATAGTTAAGCCTGTTTGGGCTTAACCATGTGCCTTATTTTGGTTGGAAGGGGTTAGAGATGTTGTAGATTACTCTCATTCATCCTTCCACCTGCAGAGAGGTGTCTGATTTGATTACTTATGTAGCAGACCTACATTTCAACAAGCAGAAGTTGGAAGAGGAGAATAATAAGTTTAAGTTGGCATTAGAAACTTTGGAAGAAACTAACAGCCAGTTGTCACAGGACTGTGCTGAATTACGCCTTCAGATTAAAAGGTGAGATACAGGGGGCGTGCTGCATGCTGGGGACTTTCGGTTCTTTTTTCTTTTAAATCTTTTTTTTTTTTATTGAGATATTCACATAGCATTACATTCATTCTTTTAAAGTATGCAATCCGATGTTCTTGAGTGTATTCTAAGGCTGTGCAATTATCACCATCATCCAATTTCAGAACATTTTCATCATTTCAAAAAGAAACTGGATCCTACCCCAGGATAGGATCCCCCTGCCTGCAATATGGTAGGATCCCCAACTCCATTAGCAGCCATTGACCATTTCCTACCCCATCCCTCAGCCCCTGGAAACCTCTAGGCTACTTTCTGTCTCTATAGAGTAGCCTATTCTGGACATTTCATAAACAGGGAATTATATAACATGGGGCCTTTTGTATCTGGTTTATTTCACTTAGCATAATTTTTTTTTTTTTTTGAGACAGAGTCTCACTTTGTTGCCCAGGCTAGAGTGAGTGCCATGGCTTCAGCCTCGCTCACAGCAACCTCAAACTCCTGGGCTAAAGCAATCCTCCTGCCTCAGCCTCCCGAGTAGCTGGGGAGGCATGCACCATCATGACCGGCTAATTTTTTCTATATATATTAGTTAGCCAATTAATTTCTTTCTATTTATAGTAGACATAGGGTCTTGCTCTTGCTCAGGCTGGTTTTGAACTCCTAACCTTGAGCAATCTGCCTGCCTCGGCCTCCCAGAGAGCTAGGATTACAGGCGTGAGCCACCGTGCCCGGCCCATAATGTTTTTAAGGTTCATCCATGTTGTAGCATATATTACAACCTCATTTCTTTTTATGGCTGAATAATATCCCATTGTATGGCTATACTGCATTTTGCTTATCCATTCTTCAGATGATGGACATTTGGGTTATTTCCACTTTTTGGCTGTTATAAATAATGCTGCTATGAACATTTGTGCATGAGTTTTTGAGTGGGCATAGATGTCACTAAAGCATTCTCACCCTCAAAGGTTTTGACCTTGTCTAGTCCAACCTCTAAACCAATCTTATAAAATAATGAAATAAATGCTTATCTCAAGTTCTCTCTATTCCACCTATTATGTCACATTGAATTATATTTATGTTTCTATTAAACTGCTTTGGATGAATGTGCTGGTCAGCGATTTTGTTTGCAGCTTGAATGACTCTTGGTAATGCATCAAGATGATATAAAGGAAGGTATCAAGAATAGCAGGATGGGGACTGGTGCCATGCTTATCAATCATGTCTCATTCTCTTTTCTCCTTCCCCTAATCCTCCACGAGGAGCCTCTGTCTCCTGTGGGCTGTCACAGCATGTTTTTGATACTGGTGCAGTATCGTCTAGTACAATTTGTCTTCATATTAACTGTGCCCTCGTTGATGGCAGGATTATGTCTTATTCATCCTGGTTACCTAGTTCTTAGCAGAATACCTACTGCAGAATAATGCTACTTCCTTCAGTTTGCCTGTAAGCCACCTTTGTTTTTTTGGTTCCTCTTTCTTAGCCATGTTGTATTGTGATTATGATTATTTGTTTACTAGACTAAACTCGGGTGGGTAGGGTTTTCATGATTGGGCGCACCTTTTGCTTCTTTAAGCTGAATATCCATGACATCGAACAGCGTTTCCGCTCATAAATACTTGTTGAGGACAATGTATTTTTTTTTTTTTTTTTTTTTTTTTTGGGAGACAGAACTGTTGTGCCCAAGCTAGAGGAGTGCGTGGCATCAGCTAGTCACAGCACCCTCACCCCTGGGCTCAGAAAATACTGCCTCCCCCTCCGAGTAGGGGACTACAGGCATGTGCACCTGCCGACTAAATTTTTTCTATTATATAGTTGGCCATTAATTCTTCTATTTAGTGAGCGCGGGGTTTGCTCTTGCTCAGGGTGGTTCGATCTTACTCAAGCCAATCACTCGCCTTGGGCTCCCGAGTGATAGGTACTAGCGTAGAGCCACTGTGCGCGCTACATTAATTCTTAGTAATGAAAAAATCTGTGTCTTCTGTGAGGCCCTCAGAGAACAGTTTATAATCTAGTGGGAGATACAAATAGGTAATTCCATGATAAGGATTAGCATAATTCATGTAATCGATTTCCTGTTGGTGGATATTTAGGTTATTTCGAATGCCTTGTTATTATAAATAATGCTGTAAAAAACTTCTTTATAGAACATTTCATATAGAGACTGTTGGTAATTATTTGTTTGGTTGTCATCTCCCTCAGTGGTCCATAAGCTCTATAAAGGCAAAAACATGTCTCCTTTGTCCTCTATCATAGCCTGCATGCAGGGTATAGCACCTGGAACATGGTACCACTCAATAAATAGTTGTGGAATGGCATTAACTAATATTAACCAATATTACATCTTCTTAGTAGGGGGAAAGAACCATGCGATTCAGCCAATGATCGATTTCAAAGGGATCCTCCAAATCTTTAGCTGCAGGAACATATTTGTTGATTTTCCCCTCTATTCTCCCTTCCCTACCCCCTACTTCCTCCCAATTTCTTCCTTTTCCAAGGACTGTGAAAGATCACGGGTATATTTTTACTATTGTGGGCATCTGGTTTAAGCCTTGAGTGGTTTTCAACTGGGGTCCAAAAATAGTCTTTGGCTTTACTCAGTGTCTTGGACGGTTATATTTGAGGTTTTGCTCATGGCCTTCTCCCCCCCGCCCCCACAGTGCCCACCAGGCTATTATGAGAACAAATCTGTTAAAAGAAGAGCTGGAGGAACTGAAACTGAGTGTGAATGCCTCAGAAGAGCAGAAGGCCGTGACTGTAGCCCAGAACAAACAGTTAGTAAGTCATCCAAACACTTTGAAATTGGCATATAGTTTACATAGCTGAAACACAGGAGGGCTTATTTGGGGGCAAAATTCAGAAGCCAATAGGTTGATAAATGAACTGGTAGCACCTTAGACAAGTAAAGGCAGGTGGTAGGATAAAGAAAAATCTGTTTTCCTTTTCAGTCAAGATTAAAATTCTTTACAAATTTCTCAGTCATGTTCACAATGGTTTGTGAGGATCTAGAAAAATCTCTGGAATGCCTCCTGAAATTGGTAGGTGAATTCATAAGTATCTGATACTAACAACCACTTGAATTAAAAAAAATTGTCGCTATCAAACTTTCATATTTTTCTCAGGTTTTAAAAAAATAATCAATTCTCTTGAGTACTTGTCACTGAGAAGCTCCATAAATCATTCCTTACACTGAATAAACACAGGCTTGTAACTTCAGGGCCAAAAGTTATTTAAATTAAGGTTTTTATTATTTATTTATTATTTTTTGAGACAGAGTCTCACTCTGTTACCCAGGCTAGAGTGTCATGGTGTCAGCCTTGCTTACAGTAACCTGAAACTCCTGGGCTCAAGCAATCCTTCTGCCTCAGCCTCCGAAGTAGCTGGGACTACAGGCATGCATCACCATGCCCAGCTAATTTTTTAAATATATTTTTAGTTGACAAATTAATTTATTTCTATTTTTTTTTTTTAGTAGAGATGGGGTCTCACTCTTGCTCAGGCTAGTCTCAAACTCCTGAGCTCAAAGGATCCGCCCGCCTCGGCCTCCCAGAGTGCTAGGATTACAGGCGTGAGCCACCCTGCCCAGTCCATTAAACTAAGCTTTAACTCAAACACGAAAGGTGATCATTTTGACTGAGAATGTTAAACTGTTATCTAGAGCAGGCATCCTCAAACTACGGCCCACAGGCCACAAGCCACCTGCCTAGCACATTTATCCCGCCCCCTGGGGTGTTTTTGCTGCAGCTGCCTGTCCTGCTTAGCAGCTGCCTGTCCTGCTTAGCAGCTGACTTGTCCCCGGCCCACAGTGCGCACTCTCCAACGGTCGGAGGGACAGTGAACTGGCCCCCTGTTTAAAAAGTTTGAGGACCCCTGATCTAGAGCATTAGTAGTAGTCTTCAAAACTGGTAAATTCTAGCAGTATAACTATGGTGAAGGGCGGCTGAAAGTCATTCAGACTGATTTATTTCTAGATGTCATTTGTAAAACTGTTTTCAGAGTGAATCTGGAAGTCACTGGGAGACTTGGTTTTTAGGTTTGTTCCAGTCACTTGTGACCTCCATCAACCAAACAGCTTCGTTTAGCTTTTTTAGCTCTTTTTTTTTTTTTTTTTTTTTTTTTTTGAGGACAGAGTCTCGCTTTGATTGGCCCCAGGCTAGGAGTGATAGTGCATGGCATCAGCCTAGGCTCACAGCAACCTCAAACTCCTGGGCTCAAACAATTCTGGCTGCCTCAGCCTGCCCGAGTAGCTGAAGACTACAGCATGTGTCACCATGCCCAGCTAATTTTTTCTCTCTATATATATATTAGTCAGCCAATTAATTTTTCTATTTATAGTAGAGACAGGGTCTCACTCTTGCTCAGGCTGGTTTCGAACTCCTGACCTCCAGCAATCGCCCACCTTGCCTCCCAGAGTGCTAGGATTACAGCGTGTGAGCCACTCGCCCGACCCGTTAGCTTAGCTTTGTTTCAATATAAAAATGTGGGCCGACCCATGGCACGTCAGGTCCTCTGTGACCCTATGAGTCTCTATGGGTGGCATTATAGGAAAGACCAGCACGCGGACCACTGAGGATAGTAGAGACCTGAGTAAGAGCCCGCACAGTGGGAGACAGACTGCCTGCATTCAGGTCCTGGCTCCAAGGGCTGTGTGCTTAGGCCTGCCCGGGAACCGCTCTAAGCGTCCATGCCCTCCTGGGTAAAATAGAGATGACGATAACTACCTACCCTAGGGCTGGCGAGGCGACAGAGCTAACAGGTGTAAAGCGTTCAATGTCCTTTTAACATCAATAACGTGAACTGTTATGGATTAAAGTGCAAAGTCCTAGATAGACAATCATTTACATTTTATAGTATTTTATAGTTTTGAAAGAATTTTTTAATATTTTTATCTCACTGGTAATTATAGAAATTCTGTGAGGTAGGAACAAATTTGCTACATCTCGTATATTTTGAAAAAAAATTTTAATGGAGTGATGAAAGTCCAGAGATGTTTTAATCAGTCAATTTGTTTAATAAATGGTAGAGCTAAACGAGCCATCCATTCCACTGTGTATGTGCTTTAAAACATCAGTTATACATGATAGAAAACACATAATGTTATCTATCTGTCAATTTTTAAAAAATGGTAGAGCTAGAATCAAGCTCGAGGTATTCTGATTTTAAGTACATAGGGTGTGTGTGTTCTTCTTAGTCCAATGAAATTCTAGACAGAGATGTTTTCCCTTTAATTTTTTTTCCCTTTTTTCCCTTTTTTTTTTTTTTGAGACAGAGTCTCACTCTGTTGCCCAGGCTACAGTGCCGGGGCATCAGCCTAGCTCACAGCAACCTCAAACTCCTGGGGCTCAAGCAATCCTCCTGCCTCAGCCTCCCAAGTAGCTGGGACTACAGGCATGCGCCACCATGCCCAGCTAAGTTTTTCTATATATATTAGTTGGCCAATTAATTTTTTTCTATTTATAGTAGAGACAGGGTCTCACTCTTGCTCAGGCTGGTCTTGAACTCCTGACCTCCAGCGATCCGCCCACCTTGGCCTCCCAGAGTGCTAGGATTACAGGTGTGAGCCACTGTGCCCGGCCTTCCCTTGATTTTTATATTAAAAAGGTAATACCTGTTTATGAAAATAAAAAAATCCATATTAACACAGAAAAAAATCCCACAAAATCTTACTGTTGACATTTTGGCAAATATCCTGCCCTGGAATATATTTTCTTCTGATGGTTCTGAATTTGAAGCTGTTAATTATAAAATAGTTTTTGATGTTCAGATGTTGTGGTGATGTTGAATCTGAGAATATCCACAGCTTCAAATAGCAAGCTTAGAACTCTGTGATTTCAAAGTGCTATTTAAAAATCTGAGCTTACAATTACCTGTTATAAATGGATAAATAAATGGCAAAGTAGCAGGGAAGGAAGCCAGATTGTTCCTTTTTCCGTTTTCATCTTTTCCTCCCTAACTATCATAGTTACATTGAGTCCAGGAGAGGAGTAACTTCTCACAGATCCCCAAGAAACTTCAAGCCAAGGTGTAACCCCACATTGAAATTATTTTAGATTAGGCTCATTTGTGACATGTGAATGTCACATTTAAAGTTGGTAAGAGGAAAGAATATCAATAGCTTTGGAGGTAAATGTGGTATTTCCATAAACTTCTTTTTTTTTATTTTTTATTTTTATTTTTTCTTTCTTTTTAAAACTCAGAAAAGCATATCCATAAACTTCTTAAATTCTTTTTCGTTATTTTTCTCACAATGAATCAGGAGACAGAAAACCGGGCCCTAATTCTTAAGATTCGGATTCTACAGGAAGAGGTATGTTGAAATCATAAAACACTGGTGTAGACAAACATGGAAATCATATAATCATGAGTTATGACTGTGGGTTAAATAAAAATCATGCAAATATTCAGGGGCCTGTGGGCCAATGAGCAAATTGATTTGTCAAATTACAAATGAGGAAGAGTGGATAGGATTTTCATGTCTGTACAGAGGTACCTTATTACTTTTGCAATTATCCATGGGAAAAAATGGCATTTAAGAAATTTAGATTTAAAATGAAATGACGTTATCCCATCTAAAAAATATCCAAATCAAAAAAGAAAGCATGGATGCCATCTAATCATTTTTCATTATTATTTCATTGGATGAGGTGGCAAAAGTCTCGAGTCTAAAATTCATGTCTTAAATACACTGAAAGCATGACCTTGGAAAAACCATGTATCTTTTCTGGGCTAATAATACTTATTCCATACAATTATTTTGGAGATTAAGACGATTCGTGTAAAAGCATTTGGTAAACCATACGTACCTTATATATGTTAGGAAATATTAGTATAATCTCTGAAAAAAGAATAATTCTTTGCAATATACATTTTTTAAGCACCAGAACTAAAGCGTTAGAAGAAGAGGTCACAAAGCTGTAAGTTACTGTACTGAAGGGGAAATTCTCTATAGACATCTTTTGAACATAAAGTATTATGCAGGTTTAGATTTGGGTTTTATATAAGACTATCAGAAGTATTAAGTTGTGCTGAACAGTCTGGGGAGTTATTCAAAATGCAGGCCAAGTTAAAAATATCTCACAGTGGATTGGAAAGGAACAATTAAAGATTGGAAAGAAGCCTACATTAGATTCAGATGTGTTACAGCTGCAATGCCAGATTTTTGTGAAACTAGTGCTTTCTCATTAAACTCCTAATGTAAGATATTTTTCTCCTCATATTTAAATGAGTGAAAACCATCAAAGAATTGCATGAAACCAGTTTAGAATCGAGATACAAGGCAGATTTAAAACCCTTCATTCTAAAGGGAGAGATAGCAATGCAATGATTGACTTACATTAAAAAATGCATGTAAGTGTTGTGAAAATTCCTTTAGGAAGTAAAAATCTGATGCATTGTGAAGAGAAACAGCATAAAGGTTTGGATAGTGATTCACTTTCATTAATTCATTCAACGTGTATTCATTGGAAGGCCCCTATGTGTGGTGCTATTCCCCCTGCTGAATACAGGAGCCTAAACAAAATAGCCCGTATGGAACTAGTAAGTTAAATGGTGATAAGTGCTATGGAGAAAGGAAAAGCAGAAAAGGGAATTGACAAGGAGGGGGGTGCAATTTAAAGTGGAGTGGTTAGGAAAAGCAGCACTATGAAGCTAATTCTTTGATTACAAACTGGAAAGGAGTTTTACCTGTGAAAGAGCCTTCCAGGCAGAAGAAACAGCAAGCTCAAGGGTGTGAGGCTGCAGCGCACCTGCTATTTTGGAGGGACAGCGAGGCTGGTGTGTCCGGAGCAGAGTGAACAAGTAGCAAGAGATGAGAGCTGAGAGCTTCAGGGAGCCAGACATGTAGGGTTTCATACAGACATTGTAAGGACGCCAGCTTTTTATTTTATTTATTTTTTTGAGACAGAGTCTCACTTTTGTTGCCCGGGCCAGAGTGCTGTGGCATCAGCCTAGCTCACAGCAACCTCAAACTCCTGGGCTCAAGCGATCCTTCTGCCTCAGCCTCCCGAGTAGCTGCCACCATGCCCGGCTAATTTTTTCTATCTATTTTTAGTTGGCCAATTAATTTCTTTCTATTTTATAGTAGAGACGGGGTCTCGCTCTTGCTCAGGCTGGTTTCGAACTTCTGACTTCGAGCTATCGACCCACCTCAGCCTCCCAGAGTGCTGGGATTACAGGCATTAGCCAACCTGTCCGGCCTATTTTATTTTTTAATTGTTTTTTTTTTTTAACACAGAGTGAGATAGAAGCCATTGAAGGTTTTTGAGTACAGGAGTAATCTGATCTAATTTCTATTTTAACAAGATAACTCAAGCTGCTGGGTTTAGAATCCACTGTAGTAGATTCAGTCAAAAGCTGATGGTGACTTGGACTGAACAGCCACAGTGGAGGTGGACAGAGTGTTTAGATTAGGAAATACTTTATCATACATCCAAAGACCTTTATTATGTATTCGGGTAACATGGAAATTCTCTTATTGGTTCTAGTGTCTCAGTGAAATACCAAGCAATGTCATCAGCTAAAGGAGAGGATGTTGGAGGAGCTATTGGAAATTTGAGGAAAGAGAAGGGATGTTCTGGGCCAGGACTTGAAAAACTTTTGCAAAGTCCCTACCTGATAGTAAATATTTTCCAAGCTTTGCTAGCCAAAAGCCCTTTGCTGCAATGACTTACCTTTGCTTTTGTAGTGTGAAAGCAGGCATAGACATATCTGTAAACAAATGGGCACAGCTGTGCTCTAATAAAACTTTATTTACAAAAACAAGTGATCAGCTAGATTTGACCTTTGAGGGTCAAATCACCAACCTCTGATTTAGGAAAATGTTGATGTGAATATACTAGGGTTATATGGTATGACCACTAATAAACGCTGAGGTTAAAGGACATGAATTTAATGTGTGAACTAACTGTCCCTTCTTTCTTTAACATGTGAACTAACTGTCCCTTCTTTCTTTAATGTGTGAACTAATTGTCCCTTCTTTCTGAAAGGGTGCTGGCATGAAGTGGGTGGCAAGCTAATTTAAGCCTATACTAAACAGCAGCGGATAGGGAAGGGAACTGAGGCAGTGGAAGGGAGTGATCATAATGACTGACTATGGAAGTCAGAGGGCACTGAGTTCATGGGAAGGTTGAAGGATATGGAAAAAGGTGGTGGGATCATTGGATTGCAGGTTCCAGTGGGGACTGAAGGTTTGTTGGTGTTACAGGAGGTAATCAGGAAAGACAAGAGGTGGTGGTTGGAGAGTGGGGTGCTTGCAATTAAGATAATGGAGGGGTCACTGTTACTGGTAATCACACATTTGCACTGGTAAGGGCCTGAGGTGGAATGGAAGCTCAGAATGCAGTACCTCGAGTATTCCCGGATGGTCATGTTATTTCTACACAAAGTCTAAAGTTTTGTCCCTTAGTTTAAAATGAATTAATTACAATGTTAACAATGAAAACACTACTTCCTAAAAGAGATTTTGATTGTGATTTCCTTGCATTTTTCTTGGTGCTAAATCTAAGAATACTATCTTCTTTTACATTAGAACATGAAGAACATCATGGATATAGATAAACTGGAAAAGACAATTGAGGAATTGTCTAAGACCGAGATAGAGCACCAAGTAAGCCCTTCCCACATACTGGTAAAATATTTTTTTTTTCTGTTAAGCCAATCTTATTTTATGATGATGTATATGACCCATTGACAAAATAACCTCTGGTTACAAGTCCTGAAATTTGTACTTTTCTAAATGTCTGAATTATATAAAAGGCAGTTTCTTTTTCTTGGTAGCAGCTTTACTAATACATAATTCAGATGCCTTAAAATTCACCCACTTAAAGTATACGAGTTGGTGTTTTTTAATATATTCACAGCTGTGCAACCATCGCCAAAATCAAGTTGAAAGCATTTGCATCATCCCAAAAGAAACCCCTTTAACAGGAGCACCTCTTACCATCCCCTCCCCAGCCCTAAACAACCACTAATCTATTTTATCTCTCTATAGATTTATTAATATCTGTTCTGGGTACAGATATTACGTAGAACCATGTAATATGTTGTCTGTTGTGACCACTTTCTTTCACTTAGCATGATGCTTTCGAGGTTCATCTATGTTATAGCACATATCAGTACTTTCTTTTATTGCTGGATAATATTCCATCATATGGGTATGCACATTTTGTTCATCCATCAGTCGGTGGACATTTGGGCTGTTTCAACTTTTTGGTGGTTATGAGTAATGCTGCTATGAACATTCGTGTGCAAATTTTTATGTATACATAAGTTTTAATTTCTCTTGAGTAAAAACCTAGCAGTAGAATTACTGAATGATATGAGAATTCTGTTTCACCTTTTGAGGAACTGCCAGACTGTTTTCCAAAGTGGCTGCTCCATTTTACATTCCACCAGCAGTGTATGAGGATTCGAATTGATCTACATCCTTGCCAACCCTTGTTATTATTTATCTTCTTGATTATAGTGGCAATTTCTAATTTAACAGTATCTGATTTTGTAAATCCCTAAATCAAGAAAGATTTTATATATTGTACCTTCTTGATACCAAAAATGAGAGAGAGAAAAAAATATCTATCCTTGATTAAATTAAGGAATAATGCCTTGTAAAAATGCTTTCTGTCTGTATCTAAAAAGTTTATATTCAGTAATATTTTTATCTGCCATAGATTCTCATTAGAAAACAGAAGACAACTACTAGTAAATTCATGAATGTATGTCGTGCTTATTGTCATCTCTAATGGTTTATTTGAGCGATATTTTTTGTTGTTGGCCATGTCTGAAATGATGTAATTAAATTTCATATCTATACGTGGAATTTGCCAGTTTCCTGGCAGAAACCATAATCTCTTGTGCGTGTATATGTGTGTGTGTGTATAAAAGAGCAGTTATAACTTAGACATTGCAATTAGTTCTGCACTAAGAATGGCTGTGTTTGGAAAACACAACTGTGATGAACAAGTAGAAAGACCTGGAAGACATGGATTTAGATCCTGTCTTCTCTACTTAAGAGTTTCTAACCTCAAGCAAATTTTAAGTCTCAATTTTCTCATCTACTAACTGGACATGCTATTTCTGCCTACTCCACAAGCTTGTTGAAACACAGATGATGATGTGATCATATCCAGTGTATATGAGTATGATGATGTTTCTGCTTCTGACCATGCTGATGAGTTTTTTCAGGTTCTCAATCCAGTCAATATGCGTATTAATTCTGTTATATGTAGGAGCGTAGGCCACCAAGCTTGCTTTGGATTTGAATAAACTGATGTATCCCTAATATTCAATTTGCTAAAAGAAATCTCGAACATTTCTAAATGAGATTTTTAAAAAAGGAAGAGTCCTTCTATGGGTTCTCATGGAAATCTGTTTGTGTCCTACCTAGATTTTCATTTTCACCAAAGAAGTGGAGACTCAGTACGTTCTCTTATTATATGAGGTGTGGAGTAGTGGGAAAGGCACTTGACTGGAGCTGTCCACTCATGCTGTGGGCTCAGCTCTGACAATGACTGTGTGTGACCCAGGGCCCGTCCCTGAATAATGCTGAGCTTTGGTTTCCTCACTGGCAAAGTCAGGGCAATGACCTCCACCTCTAGGGTTGTGAGACTGGATGGGAAAGTTCTTTGTAGAGTGAAAAACATGCATGTTAAAGGAGCTCTGGAAACATATCTCCCTTCCCGAAATGAGTTTATGACACTGTCCTTTTACCAAAGCAATTTCCCAATGGGCGTCCCTAAATGTGTTTCTTTTCAGATGCAGTTATACACATATGAGAACGCTTTACTTAATAAAGATGCAAGTTTGCAGAAGGTCGGTGCTGTTCCTTCCCATGAAAGCCTGCAGAATTGGCTAGTTCTCTCCAAATCATAAAGGAGATGGTCATTTGTGTAATTTCATTCCTACTAAAAGATCTGATTCTATTATTATGTCATTAGACTTCCCTTTATAGTCCTTCACTAAAATGCTCTTCTGAGTAAAGAATAAGTCTGAACCTATTCTCTCTAAATTCTGGTGGTGGTCATCCACTTACATAACAAATATTAGTGTGCCAATCTCCTAGTGCCTTCACGTCAAGGTAAGGGAAGAGCAAGGGAAAGTCAACACAATGGACTGAATGTTTGCATCCCTCCCAAATGCATAAGTTGAGATCCTAACCCCAGTGTGATGATATTTGGAGGTGGAGCTCTTGGAAGGTAATTAGGTTTGAGGGTGGTGTCATAACAAATGGAATTAGAGTCTTTATAAGACGCCAAAGGTTAGCTAGCCCTCTTTCCTCCATGCAGATACAAGGAGAAGTCAGCAGTCTGTAACCTGGGGGAGGGCTCTCTCCAACCCTGCTGACACCCTGATCTTGGACGTCCAGCCTCCAGAACTCTGAGAAAAAAATGTGTTGTTGCTGAAGCCACCCAGTGTATGGTATTTTGTAATAGCAGCCCAAGCTAAGACAATCAGGGAAGGGTCATAGAAAACTCCTAAAAGAATTCTCATGGAGAAAAGAAGAAAATATCACCTACAATGGTATAGAAGAAAACAATGTGGCACTTACGAGGGACTACATATAGCTCGTTTAACCAATAATGTAGTGTACAAGACAGAAGGCTGGCAGGGGGTTGCTCTGTACTTACGTGATGAGTTCTTGTTGCAAGTGCTGTAATTCTTGAGCCAGTTTATTTTTATCCCCTCTTAAACTCTGGAATCACACACAACATTAGGCTGTACAGGTTACTCTAGTGGGGAATTTTACGTTTACATTTAACAAGCCCACCTTGCAAGCTGTGAGATTAATAACAATTAATAATAGATATACCTCTATAATGCTTCGGCATTCTATGATGGTTGACTTAAGTTCTTCTATACTTAAATCCTTCTGAAAAGGAGAGAGAAATAGCAGCGAAAAAGCAATGGGTCCACCATATCATATATTAAACTATCAATGTGAACCAGAGAAGAATTATAAATGCCCAATCATCATGAGATCTTCTGCCAATTTCACTATTTGAAAACTGAACCAATATTGAAAATATTGTTTGAAAATCAAAACACACAAGAAACATACGTTCTACTGCTGCTTCCTGTCTGTCACGGACTCTAAAAAGTGATTCTTCAG